GTTTGTCTGTTCGATGTTGACCGTCCGTGAGGCTTACCGTTTACAAAGCGTTGGACGCTTTCAAAAGCGTTTGTATTTTGACCTCACGCCTTAAAGGTCTGTGGCCAAGGGGAAATCTATGCATTCTGAGCACTGTACATGGGTAAACCAACGAAGTGATGGAACCCTCACCACTTCTTTTAATGGTGCCATATACTATTCTTATGCAAGTCCACCTAATTATGTGACTTATTACTATTTTGCATTGTCTTATCTTTGAACTGGGTGTCTGCACAGGTTTCATCCAACACTACTAAAACAAAATGTTCTATCCTCCCTTCCTATCACTAGAAGCGAGAATCTTAGTAGAAATGTGCACTGACAAAGCCATCCAAGAAAAGTGTAATTCTGTACCCATAAACATTCAGGTGTGTTTTGGAGGAGTCACCCACAGGATTTTATGTTTAACGCCAGACAACTAGACTAAATTTCACTGTTTCAAGGGGGTGTTAACTGAACTAATGTATCATTTACAATCACACTGCATGCTCCCATCTCAAATAATGGTGTTCTGTGCCAGTTATTTGGTACCTTGGTCTGCAGATCTTCAGAAGCATCGGCCCTAAGGTAGCATTGCAGGAGTCTTGGCAGCACATTGGCCACAGCCACTGCCTTGGCATGTTCCGGGGTGTGTCTGCCTATCTGGCCCAGTGCCCAGGCAGTGGCAGCCTTGATGTGGTCTTGGGGCTCCTCAGCAAGGGCGATAGCAAGCTGAGTCACGCCCTGAAAGGCATGCAGGAGAGGAAAGAAAGAATTGATGAAAAAACATAGCAGAGTTGAACTAAAGTGATCCCAAAAAATCAATGATCTTGTAGCAAATTGTGAAATGCATGCCATACTCAAAATCTAAAACACTTTAAGAAAAACAGTGCCTTTCCCACAACATGACCACAATGATTTACAACAAACAAAACTAAAAATTATACGAAATCATCCATGAGTCAATAACAGCAAATTCTGACTCCAAAGGCATTCACAAAGGTAAGGATGGTCAGTTGTAATGTGCGTAAGACATGTAAACATCAAGAAACTTTAAATTAACACTAATCGTACAGTATTTTGGGTATTTTAAATACAATTTACTAGGGATAACACAGGACCAAATCTGTACCTTAGATACAATGACTGCCATAGCCAAGTTCTCAGAATGTGCAGCCACATAGCCCAACATCATCACTCCAGGCAGTCTCACGTTACCCTCTGACTCCCCAACATAGTCTACCACAGCAGCCACACCGCCGGCATTGACGATCAGCTGTGACAGCTCAGGTGTATGCTTGGCAATCTCTCGGATCAGTGTGGCCACGTTCTTGCGCACGTACTCATCTTTGTCCTTCAGGCAGGTCAGGACCGCTGGGAAGATTTCGGCTTCCACCACCATCTCGGCTAGGTCCACCGAGTGCTTGGAGATCTGGCTCAGGGCTGAGAAAACTTGACGCTACAAAGAAAGAAGTGAGAGAGAAAGTCAATCATCTTGGTGCAACATGGAAAAGACAATCCATAAAGACGCAGACCAACATGTGGAGATACATGCTTTAATTTGCACGTGCTGTGATTAAATATACAAGGTCAGGACCTTGTTATTACATGCAGTCATCGGAGTCCTTGATTCTACAAAGACAGAAGGTTTGGAATGTTACACAGAAACACAACTTTGAAATAAAAGGGAATACTCTCAGTTGAGAATGCTGGCATTATTTCAACGTACAGCGTTACTTGGGCCAGTTCTAATTGGGAACACAATAAGATACAAGTGTTCTCAAGGGAACTAAGCTATTAATGAGTTTGACCTGTGACAGAAGTTGGTTTAAACTTACCTACCCACATGACAAGACAGCTAACCTAATGTACACAGTGCATTCCCTCAAAGTTTGGCCACTGTTTGATGGCTCTTACTGATTGGCCTTACACACCTCACATACCACTGACAGATGGGCTATCTTTAATAAATGCCACATCTGAGCACTGCTATTTCTAAACTACCTTAAACCCCGGACACTTCTGGAGGGAGACTATGAGCTCATGCCAAATCCATGTAGTAAGAGTCATGCCAAGTTAAATGGGCAGTACTTCCAGGTTTTCCTTGAGGTTTTACAAGCTTTAACAGGGTTGTGCGTAGTACACAAGGGTTTATCCCTGCTTAATTCTGCTTGCTTCCCTGACATTCCATGTACCTTGAGTTTCTGGTCTTGGTTGAGAATCATCTGTGCCAGGTGAGCTATAGCGCCAGCATCCACCACCGTCTGAGCCAGCTCTGGGGAGTGCTTGCAGATGTCACTCAGGGCTGAGGCAGCGATACGCTTCAAGCAGAGTTCAGGCTCCTGAATACCCAGGACCAGCAAGGGAACGGCTCCTGCATCCACCACTGACTGTGCCAGCTCTGGGGAGGTGCAAGCGAGTCAAATTACTGAAGGCTTCATCTTGGCAGACATACACTCATGTTGAGGCATTTTCCAAACAAAAGTATTATTATGAAACAATTTGATTTCAATACACTGAGAAGAATCCCTTTTGGACCTGAAATTTCCAGCAGAAACAAGGTCCCACTTCTAGAGTTCTTTCTGTGTTTGCCTTCCAACTGCAATACCCTAATCTTGATAAAAACCTGGTATTGAAACTCATGGCAGGGTTTCACAATGCAGAAAGGCTTCTCTTGCAATATATTTGAGGTACCAACACCCTACCAGCATTGTGCCTTGCAATGTAGCCCAAAGCCCAGGCGGCAGACTCCTTAACGCTAGGATCAAATTCCTCCAGGCAGATGACCAGGGCATCTAGGGCACCGCAGTCTACCACAGACTGAGCTAGCTCAGGGGAATGCTTGGCTACAGCACGCAGCACAAAGGCAGCCGCCTTCTTGTAGAACCTCTGTGAAAAGAAAACTTATGTTCAATATCTGCATCAAGACAGCATCATTTCCTCATTTGTGAGACACGCGTATAAGGCGTTAACATAACCTCACGCAGACTGAGGTATGCCATCTACAGCTGTTAAGTCTAATGCTCATTTTTGTACGAAAAATGTTTCAAAGTTTAAGTGTAAAGAATGTTCCATTAGCTCCCTTCTCTATGTAAGAATTTTTCAACAGATTTGTAGGAGGGTTCCTTGCAGAAAAAGGGAGTTAAACTTGAGAAGGCACTAATCAAATAAAGGAAAAAGTGAGATCTACTTACATTTTGTTCGGCCAAGGAATAGACAAGCTGTGGGAGGATGTCTCCCTTGACCACTGCTTCAGCTAAGTCCTCGTTGTAATTGGCTAGACGCCCCAGTGCCAAAGCTGCTGTCTGCTGGATAGTGGGAACAACATCCAACAACAGCGGCCGCAGTAGTGACATCACACCTGTATCAGAGAAGAAAAATGTAATGAGCGATGGTGTGAAGAAACTGAAGATTGGAGGGAAACATACAGGACTGTCGACAAAGACGAAAAGTATTACATTTACTGAACCACAAAATATGAAACTAATACAGCACAGTGCAATTAAAAGTTAACCTCAAAAGTGGGACAATTTTTCACACTTTTTCCCATCAGAGCAAATGAAGATTCATTTCACACATTGTGAAAAATTTTCCCCTCAGTGGGGAAAATTTTCACACCTTCTTTTCACAAGTGGGAAAACTTTTCACAAGTGTGAAAACTTTTTACTTGTGCGAAAAATTTTCAAAGGTGGGAAAACATGTCACAAGTGGGTAAACTTTTCACATGTGGAAAAAAATTCATACATTTTTCACAAGTGGGAAAATGTTAAAACCTTTTTATCCAATTGAGAAGGAAATTAACCCTTGCCCAACAAAATCAATTATAAAGTATGAACACATATACATGTAGCTGAACAACTGCCGAAAACATCCCCCAGCCACACTTTATTTGTGTTTGAATGTACAATTTTTTTTAATTAAGAATTGAGAGTAACAAAGTCAGAAAAGCCACCAAGTATCATGATACTGTTTATTTATTTTGGAAAAGCAGTAATAAAAACAGTGATTACCGTAAACAAAATCTCAAAGGCAGTCCGTATCCGTCCTTGTACAGCAGCACGTGTGAGGCTTCCGCGTGCAGACGCCATAATGACCGGCCACCGTGCACGCATGCCCGGCCACCGCCATTTGGAAAATCATGGTGCACTTCAGTGGTCGGTGGGCAAATGTGGCCACATTCACAGTCAATCTTTCTAAGGTGTTTTTGATCCATTTTTTCCAAAAATAATACCTACTTTCTTGTACATGCACCAGAAAGCCTCTAAAATTCCACTTGATCAAACTTCCAGAAAATCTTTTTTCGTGGAATTTTCGATGATTTCAGACAACTCAAATCCTATCCATTCGTACAAAAATTGATGAAAATTAGTTTGGTCCCTGGGGCTAGAAATCAATTTACTGCATCGTGTCTTCGGGGAGTTGGGCGACCATGTGTTGTACACAAAAACGATCTGTGCACGTAACGCATGCGCAGTGGCCCGTTTCGGTCCTTACACACATAGGCCCGGTAAAAAACCACAAATCACATCCATTGAGAGTGTGTTTGTACCATGCCTCTGATGTTGACGGCATCCAGAATCTATCTATCTGACCTTGACGGGCAGGTTTTCACACTGATATTTTCACACCTTTTTCACACACTGATATTTTCACACCTTTTTCACACACTTTTCGCATTATTTTTCACAGATTTTTTTGCAAATTTTTGCCATTTTTGTACATTTTTGCATGGTTTTTGCAATTTTTTTTTGCGCATTTTGCACATTTTCACACCAGATTCATTGCAAATTCACAGAGGGGAATGGTACATGTAGCAGTCAAAATGCAAACTTCGCCTGCGAATGCAAATTCCTTTCCCATTTTTCACAGTCGTTTTCCCAGGGTTACATTTCAATTGCTCGGTACTGTAAATATCAAAAGCAGACAGCAAAAACAACAAAAAGCATAAGCCTCGAAAAACAAGTTGGCAAAAATGGTTGTTGTGGCCCTGAGGTGAATCAACTCATGGGCTAGTCTTTTCTCAAGCATGAGCATTCCACACAGAGAGGCTAACTTTCAATGACAACAGAGATCGCCTTGACCCAAATAGCTTAGTCAGAATAAAACTATGTAACCAGGATGAATTGAAATCTGCTCCCAGAACGGAGAAGCCCATTCCCTGGACACTTCCTCTGTATGCATATCTTACCAGCATTTTGTAGAAGCTCAATGTTCTGGGATCGTGAGGCCAATTCAGCAATTGTTTGAACAAAGGTCGTCCTTGCCTTCTGGTACTGCTCAAAGACTGTAAGAAAGAAACCGTTCATACCGATTAATTTGAATTAAAATAATCATGCTTTAATTATGGACTTAATTATTAATGATGGGCCAAAAAGAAGTCTATCTTGTGTTTTTGGATACTTGGAAACTTTGTCAAGGCAAATCTTCATCTGGTTGAATGTTTGCACCAACACTGTGGATACATATTCATGAAATGGAATTCAGACCTTACCTTGTGCAAAAAAAATCCCAAAGCCAAACTCATGAAGACAAAATGAGGCCTCCTGAATTGTATTGCGGGAATTTATTTGAATTATCTTGTGATGTTTTGGGGGAAGAAAAAGCTTTCCAAAATTGCCCATGGAGGGTCTTGAATCTGGGTCTCCTTGTCTTAAGCTGCAGTCACAGTTGAGTGTCGGTCACTTTGCCCCATTTCCACTTCACCCCATTAACACTTCACTCGATTTATTATTGTTCATTCTGTTCTGCAGTAACAGAGGCATAGCCCTAGATGCAACAAGTAAAAACATCAACGACTGGAGAATCCAACTTTCAAAGACCAAAACAATGCTTCCAATTTCCCAACCACCGGACCCAAATTTTTCGGCAAGACCCTAAAATTGTTATTGGCAAGTTAGAAAAAGGTTTTCTTCGTGTTTTGTTGTCGTTGTGGCAAAAACACATGTGCAATGCGCTGGTTCCTGCTGTGCCGCACCCACGTACATGATGTAAGAGAATGCTTGATGAAGTGTGGCAACCAGCCTATTCATGCCACGGCGACCGTACATGCACGTTATCTGTCACGCATAAAAAAAAATCGATGTCGCAAGATTTCTGCACGTTAATTCTCAGTATGTATTTTGTCTATTTGTGTGTTTTCTGTGTTCATCAGATTAATTCTAGGCTGTTTTGCTCGTACTTGAAGCGAGCATGTTTCCACAAAATTTCCAGTGCGCTGAGCTTTATCTGATCGCATGGGTAGGCCTACAGCTGTCTGGATGCACTGGCAATTACCAGAACGATGTGAACAGAATTGTGTGTTGCTTTGAAATAAACTTAAAGGGGATGAGAAATAACCCCGATGCTAGTCCAACCATACAAGTATGTATTAATTCACCATAATGGTCAACGCAGTCGAAATAAATTTAATGCCGTAGAGTGTTCTACAATAACTAGGGTAGGGACATGCATAAATGAGTGAGGGCGCTGTTGATTTGGGAATTCATTTTCTTAACTAGGACACTGTGACTAAAATTTGTCTTTTTCCGCACACTCTAGCTCCTCTATTTAATTTCCAATTTCAGTTTTTTGAAATTTCAAATGAAGCCAACATTTAATTCATTGAAATAAGGCATGAGTACGAACAAAGATTTTATGAAAATACATGTATGCATTTAAAGCTTTTTAGTCAAAATCCACACTCATTTTTGTTTTAAAAAAATCACAGTTTGCTGCATTAAACATATACAAAAAATGTCCCAAAAGATCTCAAAATATCCCAACTTTAAATCAGTATTTCATTTGCTTTTCAGGCACTGATGGAATCCAAATTTATATCAAAATGTTTCTTTTGACATCCTCTCCAAGATCACGTCAAAACAAAACAGAAAAAAATAGTTCAAAGATTTATGATCCTCCCTAACGAGGGCCTACATGCAGGCCTAGTAACAAGTTACACGTCCTTTGTGGAACTCCCTTCTCGACCATTTTGGAAGAGGCTTAAGTTGTAACACACTCGTGCACAGACGGCAAAGTGGGGCGAAGTGGAAATGGGGCGAAGTGGAGATGGGGCGAAGTGGAGATGGGCGAAGTGGAGATGGGGCGATGTAGGAGTGGGGATGGAGCGAAGTGGTTACCGTTAGGGGCGACGAGAGATGGGGCGAAGTGACTATTATTAACCTCACAGTCTGGGAATAGACTTAAGTTTACTCACGACACACCTGAATCAGGCAACGTATATTGCCTTCTGTTTATGAGCACAATCATACCTTGTAAAACTTGTCTTGAACTCATCTTGTACTGGTTGGATTTTCAGCAGATTTCCCGATATTAGATCTAAGTATAAATTACGATCGGCTGGCAGTCCACCGCACGTATGATGTAGCCTATCGCGGTTGACGTTTCACGTGTGTTGCTATTTTGTTGCCAAGGGAAAAGTTCACTCACCTCCATAAACTAAAAATATCTATTTTGGGGTATATAAAATAATAAAATTTATTTAATAAAATAAATAAAAACTATTTTTAATTTTTTTAAAAATTAAATTTTTGAGAATTTCCTAAATAGTTTTGAGGAAAATACAGTTACAATCCTACACAATAACATAACGCAGTGTTTATATTACAGCTTTTAGATTGAGCCTGATGCCTGACTAAAGTCTTAATCCCAACCTTATTAACCTTTATTATTAGTTCAATATTTTCAGGGGTGCAGACTTTTCCTTATGTAAGCATGCGTCATTTTAATATTGATTTCAACTTCTGCACGGGGGCGCGGCGTCTGCTCCGACTCCAACTTCTTCAAAATGCTTAACTCATGTTACCTGTTGACGAGAACCAGGGTCCTTTTCCCAAAGTATAAACGTGTACACCTTTTGCAGGATTTTGTGGTAGGCCATGTACTTTACATGATGTATAATCCGTGAAATTGAATAGGTCAGACTGTCACCGTACATCATACATCATTACATGTTACGCCTCAACTGTGGCATAAGTCCCAACTATACATGTAGTTGGGACAGTCCCAACTGTAGTGCTGCAGTTGGGCTGGCCCAACTATTGCTNACCTGGACCATTCCTTCCTCCATGGTATAACGTCCAGGGTATGGGCCAGCGCAGACATCCGGGATTTTCGCAAAATGACAGGTACTGCGCTGGTGAAAACAGCGATCTTGGCGACGTATGCACGCACCAACCAGTCCGAGGATCGGGTTATACAATCTTTTCTATGATGTGTACGTACGCGCGCGCTCGTTGCAGTTGTTTTCACCCATGCGGTGTGGTTGCTACCCATATTTTTGTGAAACTCCTGGATGTTCACGCTGCCCCATAAAAGTCCTCCTACAGATTACAATGTGAAATTGTTTTCAACTTTTTTTCTCACATTTTTTCATGGCCTAGACAGCTCAAATGTCGTTCACAAGTGCTTTGTATCCGGAATTAAATTACAAAATACACCCATGGACAACGTACATGTATTTTGCAGGAAATTTTGCAAAATTCCATGCTTTCTGTTGCAACTTGTGAACATCCTACGTTTGTCTAGTAGTACACATTTGCGCATACATGTACACGAAATGGCTTCCACGCTCAAGCTCGGCATACATTCTGTGTGAATGTGGAGAAGTCCCTTTATTTGGGGACAAAATTGGTCCTCCAAAACAGAGAATGACCCCTTAACTTAGTGGGTACAATTTTTTTTCAAGTGGGCTTGGAGATCCTACCATTGCCTTGGGGATTCTTTTATTGCCATAATTAGATTCAGCATAAAAAACACCCAAGGCTGCCGTAAAAAAAAAATCCTTCCGTTTACATCTTGGATTATGAGCAAGAGTATGCAATTTAACATAAAGGGTGGGAAAACGACTGTATCAGAACAATTTTTCCAAATATCAATCCTTACATAGGCCTATACTTGATCGAGTGGCATGGTGCAAAGTTACTATGCGTTTTGCACATGTGCAAGTACGTGTACTAGATGACATGGATGAACGTAGATCGTGACGGAAAGCATATGCCAAAGCCACTGCACATGCCAAATGCTGGACCACAGCGTACGCACGTACACAACTGGAAAAATCAGCACGACGGATAAATGAGGACGTTGCAGCAATGTGCTCATTTACCCGGTGCGTTCTTCGGGAAATCCAAGCATGCCGAATATATGAGACCATTACACCGGGTATTTGAAAGAAAAAACAACAAAAACTGCACTTTCTCTGCTCTTTAGCAGTTACATGTATTTATTTATGGTGTCTTAACAGTTATAGAGTGAAATACGGAGAGATACGATGAACATGATACTGGTAAATACATCACAGACAACCCACGGTCAAAAAGAGACCATGTTTATACCATGAGCTTTAAAAAAACATTTGCCCGAGCAAGTTGTTTGAATTGGAACCTCAATCTTGGCTTTGTACTAACTGTTGAATTTTTGCCTCTGTTAAAGAAATGCCTCTGTTGAAAGATAATCAGTGGGACAAAGTTGAAAAGGGGCAGAGTGGAAATGAGGCGAAGTGGGGATCTGGCAAAGTGGTTAATAGGGGTGAAGTGGAAATGAGGCAAAGTGACTGACACCATATAGAAAACTCAAAGTCACTACTGCATGTGACTTTGTAGTTTACATGGGGTTGTAACTCTGGATTTTTAAAATCAAACTTTCAAGGTACGTGTAAATGATGTGGTACCTTGAACTCCACTTTCAGTAACATTTTCAAACAGGTTTTCCAGTGAGAAAGGATGTGATGGTGAGAGCAAACATAAAGTAGGCCTTCCTGTAGCTCTTGAAAAGGGTGTAACAGAGGGTTTCAGTCCTTTCATTTTAAGGCGTGCGATTGCACTCCCATGCCATCGCACGCCTAAAAGCTTCCTGAAAAGTGCAAACAATTGCATGCCTGAAACCATTCGTACCGCACTCCTTGGCATGAGTTTACTTTATAATTATACTTTGCAATTTTGAGAAAAATGAAACGAAAAGAATCAAACAATAGGCGTACCTAACAGGAGTGACAGAATCATTTTTTACTCTCGCAGCGAAACAGTTTTGCAAGATGACTCTGTCAGTTTGCAATCATTCAGCCCATGCACGTCACACAGCGCTGCAAGCAAGCGTTGCTGCATGCATAAAGCTAAATGCACCAGGCATGGCTTTACGTGCTTGTAGTACGTGTACATGTCACACACATTGGAAGCGCAAGGGGACGTTTTATTAAAATCCAAAATCCATTGACAAATTGATAATTCTCAATGTAACAGCCAGTACACTTTTGATTCAGTGGTCTGTCTACCCAAATACAAATGAACACTTCTCCAGACATAATTTGAACTTGTGAGAAAGCTTACAAAATATCCATGCCTGTATAATTGGATACCCAAAATATGAATTACACAGGTGAAAAACCTTACAAGGACTCTAATGAAACTGTCACTGATTTGGTTTGAACTGGACGAAGTACAAGCCCCTCATGTGAGCTCTTGAATTGAATGTAATTAGAACTATATGATTGTTCAGTTTGGAACTCAAAATCACACGCCTAGAAAAATTGCACGCCTGGAAATATCCAGGAGTGTTTTTTTCACATACCTACAATTTCCAAATCACAAGGACTGGGGTTTCAGAGCATGAGACTGAGTATTTTTTGAAAAATCTGAGCTTTTTATTGACTAAACTCTCTTTTCCACTTGATGGCGATGACCATGTTTATCACACTGCGCANGCCTGGACCAATCCTTCCTCCATGGTATAACGTCCAGGGTATGGGCCAGCGCAGACATCCGGGATTCTCGCAAAATGACAGGTACTTCGCCGGTGAAAACAGCGATCTTGGCGACGTACGCACGCACCAGCCAGTCCGAGGATCGGGCTATACAATCTTTTCTATGATGTGTACCTATGTGCGCGCTCGTTGCAGTTGTTTTCACCCATGCGGTGTGGTTGCTACCCATATTTTTTGTGAAACTCCTAGATGTTTGCGCTGCCCCATAAAAGTCCTCCTACAGATTACAATGTGAAATTGTTTTCAACTTTTTTTCTGACATTTTTCATGGCCTAGACAGCTCAAATGTCGTTCACAAGTGCCTTGTATCCACAATTAAATTACAAAATACACCCACGGACAAGGTACATGTATTTTGCAGGAAATTTTGCGAAATTCCATGCTTTCTGTTGCAACTTGTGAACAGGGTGAACGATCTACGTTTGTCTTGTAGTACGCATTTGCGCATACATGTACACAAAATGGCTTCCACGCTCAAGCTCGGCATACATTCTGTGTCTAGACAGTAGAGGTGCAGATCACAACTCAGGGACTGTCCCGAATGTGGAGAAGTCCCTTTATTTGGGGACAAAATTGGTCCTCCAAAACAGAGAATGACCCCCTAACTTATTGGGTACAATTTTTTTTCAAGTGGGCTTGGAGATCCTACCATTGCCTTGGGGATTCTTTTATTGCCATAATTAGATTTAGCATAAAAAACACCGAAGGCTACATGTAGGTCATGTAGGTCTAGGTTGTCAATCCATTGGAAATACATGTACGTGGAAGCTTTGGAAGCCCGTTTCAGACACGGCCTTATCTGCAACTTCTTCACGCCCACAGCTCTTCTGCGCATGCATATGGGGCAGTCGGTTACTATGCGTTTCGCACATGTGCAAGTACCTGTACTAGATGACATGGATGAACGTAGATCGTGACGGAAAGCATATGCCAAAGCCACTGCACATGCCAAATGCTGGACCACAGCGTACGCACGTACACAACTGGAAAAATCAGCACGACTGATAAATGAGGACGTTGCGGCAATGTGCTCATTTACCCGGTGCGTTCTTCGGGAAATCCAAGCACGCCGAATATATGAGACCATTACACCGGGTATTTGAAAAAAAAAAACCGAAAACTGCACTTTCTCTGCTCTTTAGCAGTTACATGTATTTATTTATGGTGTCTTAACAGTTATAGAGTGAAATACGGAGAGATACGATGAACATGATACTGGTAAATACATCACAGACAACCCACGGTCAAAAAGAGACCATGTTTATACCATGGAGCTTTAAAAAAAATTTGCCCCAGCAAGTTGTTTGAATTGGAACCTCTTTCTTGGCTATGTACTAACTGTTGACTTTTTGCCTCTGTTAAAAATATGCCTCTGTTGAAAGATAATCAGTGGGACAAAGTTGAAAAGGGGCAGAGTGGAAATGAGGCAAAGTGACTGACACCATATACACTGTAGAAAACTCAAAGTCACTACTGCGTGTGATTTTGTAGTTTACATGGGGTCGTAACTCTGGATTTTTTAAATCAAACTTTCAAGGTAAATGATCTGGTACCTTGAACACCACTTTCAGTGACATTTTCAATCAGGTTTTCCAGTGAGAAAGGGTGTGATGGTGAGAGCAAACATAAATTAGGCCTACCTGTAGCTCTTGAAGAGGGTGTAACAGAGGGTTTCAGTCCTTCCATTTTAACCCCTTGACGACGGGAATTTCTTCCCGAAAGCCGACTCCAAGAATTCCAGCCTTACTTGGCCACAAAGGCCACCTGCCAAACCGCAAATTCTCGGTTTGTGGCCCTGCGTGCTCTGCACGCTTTGAATTACACGGTGAAAAGGCTGATTGTTCGGTGGCATGCTGCTCTACTCATGCTTCCACATTCCCGTTGCCTCTTTTCAAAGTGGGGACTATTGTGAAGCTGGTGATTATGATGCAAATTCGGTCTTTTCATTTCTAGGCTACGCACAAAGACCATTTAGATATATACAAGAACCAAGGTCTGCCTTCTTTCACCGTGTTTGCTCGAGCGTGGGCCGAGAATAATAGCTGAAATGCAGGCTGAGGATCTCAATTTTTACGGCGTGTACGTCTAGCCACCTCCCGGCGCGAAGGGGTTAAGACATGCGATTGCACTCCCACACCATCGCACGTCTAAAAGCTTCCTGAGAAGTGCAAATAATTACATGCTTGAAGCCGTCCATACCACACTCCTCAGCATGAGTTTACTTATAATTATACTTCGTAATTTTTGAGAAAAATAAAACGAAAATAATCAAACATTAGGCGTACCTAAAGGCTGACAGAATCATTTTTGATTCTCCAAGGGAAACAGTTTTGCACAATGACTCTTGTCAGTTTGCAATCGTTCAGCACACACATTACACAGTGCTGCAAGCAAGTGCTACTTCATGCATTATGCTACATCCACCAGACTGTACATTGCTTTACATGCTTATAGTACGTGTCACACACATTGGAAGCGCAAGGGGACGTTTTATTAAAATCCAAAATCCATTGACAAATGGATAATTCTCAATGTAACAGCCAGTACACTTTTGATTCAATGGTCTGTCTACCCAAATGCAAATGAACACTTCTCCAGACATAATTTGAACTTGTGAGAAAGCTTACAAAATATCCATGCCTGTATAATTGGATACCCAATATATGAATTAAACAGGTGAAAAACCTTACAAGGACTCTACTGAAACTGTCACAGATTTGGTTGGAACTGGACGAAGTACAAACCCCTCATGTGATCTGTTGCATTGAATGTAATTAGAACTATACGATTGTTCAGTTTGGAACTAAAAACCACACGCCTAGAAAAATTGCACGCCTGGAAATATCCAGGAGTGGTGTTTTCACATGCCTACAATTTCCAAATCACAAGGACTGGGGGTTCTGAGCATGAGACTGAGTATTTTTTGAAAAAACTGAGCTTTTTATTCACTAATCTCTCATTTCCACCTGATGGCGATAACCACGTTTATCACATTGCACGNTGTGTCGGGCCAGATGTGAAGCAAGCTTCATTGGCTCAAAGTCACTACTTCTTGTGACTTTACAGGCGAGAAATAACTTGCAGTTGGAAAATAGCCTCTAATAATTGCTTGATACACAGTGTAAGGAGCTTCCCACTATGCTCATGGATCTGTTTGTTTCATGCAGATCCTGATTGCAATCAGTGATCTGTCGTGGTTTCCATGACACCAGAACCCACCTAATGGAGAGCACAAACCAGCTCTGGGATCATAGATCACGATCCAGATCCATGTGAAACAAACAGGCCCCATGTGATCACTTACCATGAGAATGAAAAAGACTGGAAGCCTCACCTGGGTATTCTGTCAGTGGCCTCACAGCTACAGGGTTGTATTGAAGAAAAACAGAGGCATACTAGGAATGACACGTTCATTGGGTAGGCAGTCAACCATGACTCCGTATAAGCCAGCTATGAGGGGACATGCAAGTGGTGGATATTTTGCAATTACGGTGCCAAAGGGGAGACAGGTTTGCTTTGTAGGGTATAAACAGACAAGATTCCTTAGTAGGCCATCACAGTTTTCTCACAATTTATCCTCTTAAAACCTGTTGCCCTACATGATGCATTACATGTATGCAGGTGCTGAACCCACTTGCCTCACTTAACCCCCTAAAATCAAAGCTGTTCCTTTTTAATCTTAATGGGGTTTTTGATACTTGAAAATTTTCATGGTCCTATATGGAATTCTTCCCAGGTTTTGTTAACTTGGAATGGCATTTGACACTTGAAAATTGTCATGGTCTGATATAAGCTTCTCTCCCCAAAAGCTATCCTAACTTTTTGCCATGATAATAGTTTTTCAGGGAAAATTAATTTGTAATAAGAAACTAAAGAAAGGTAGGTATTGGATCATGAGTTAGACTTCAACTGTCTTTTTTCCTAATCCACAGACATAGTACTGAACAAGCACAGTTTTTCATGTTTAATACCTTGTATGTTGCTGTGAACTTTTATTCACAAAATGGAATTCAGATTTTTGCTAGTGCAATTTCGGACTTGATTTCTCTGAGGTAAAAACAGAACTAAAACCTGAAATGACACGTTGGACAGTAAAAGGATAGTACAGCAATATTTTTGGTAGAAAAAAATCTATGATTTGCATACATTCTGGGTCGCAACTGTGGTCCAGCATGCTACTCACTATACCACACACTCGCTCAGTTCAAATACATGTATAGTAGTTTGTTATTTGCATATATACTAGCGATGTGATATACTGTATAATAAACCACCAAAAGTGTGATGGCTTCATGGCAGATCACATGTATAATCCATGTATACATGTATGAGTACATACTTCAGTGGCAAATTATTCCTGATGGTCTTTTTAGTTTATTAAAAAACTTCCACACTGGATGCCTTTCCCTATGTATGTTCTTCCTAACGGGTTGTTCTTTATTTACAGACTCTTCAACAGGTACGTCATCTTGATGTTGGGCCTAAGGGAACTTACATTGCAAAGAAAATTCCAGCCTTGGTCAAACTAGAACCCGGCAAGAAATACTACTGGTGTAAATGTGGCCTCAGTAAGAAACAGGTACAATTTTGGCTCGGCCTGTCTCACTTTGTTATCTTCAGTATTGTGATGTCATTAAATCCAAACAGCTATCACAAAGTGCACAGCGTCAGTTGTTGCAATATAGAGAACAGCACATTGCACTGATTGATTAAGATTACTGCCAGCCCAAAGTTATTTGAAATAATGTCAGGAAAATTAAAAATTTGAATTGAGTACAGAGCTGGTTGATGAAAAAGATTATAATGATTACCGCTAATGGGTCATTAGGGAGACATTGTCATAAGAACGTGCACAAAATTTTTCCAACTTTACTGTCCCATAATTCAATATTCCCTAATCTGATCTGAACCAAACTTTGTATGTTTTCATTTTAGGCCCTAAACTATCATCTCTTAAAATATGGGCAGTAAAATTTGGCCTCCTTCTGGTAGTTTGAAAATAGGGAGACACTGAAATGTCTTACTAAAAGCCAATGTCTCCCTAATGCTGAAANTAGTTTTTTTAAGATGTAAATTTCAGAATTTAAAAAGAAAGCCCATTCATATTAAATTTTTTTAAGACATTCAGTAATCAATCAAATGAATTGGTGGTGGCAACACATGTACTTGTGGTACTAAAAAGTCAGCTTTGAAATATCAAAGTTCTTTTCAGATTCAACCATCCTACATGTAAAGTGTTGAAATTATACAGTAATTAATGAACCAGTGTTTGAATTACATTGTACCTTCTTGATACAGACTGTTTGCGTGTACCTCCTGTTAATTTGCACCTGTAGCAACCTTTTAAACCTTACATGTACATGACTCTAATTTCTAGCGCTGTTGATTGTTTAACCAGGTCTGATTGTTTGATGAAATCATTCAGATTCAAGTGTAAACTGGATTTCTAATTTACATGACTACAGGTAGATGATGGACTAAATGACAGCAATATTCTCATAAAATTTAAATATGTTATTTAATTTTGACTAGTTCCACTTTCTATTGCCTCCCTACAGCCTTTTTGTGATGGGGCCCATAAGCCCACTCAATTCAAACCAGTGATGTTGACAGTGGATGTACCCAAACGTGTTCTACTGTGCCGATGCAAGCAAACCAGCAACGAACCATACTGCGACATGACTCATGTCAAAGTCATGTTTTCTTCCTTTGGCAAAAGACTGGGGCTTGCCAAGTGAACTCCACTGTAATCAACATATATACATGTACATGTATGTACATTATATTTTCTGTAAGCTTGTTTTTTAATGGATGGTTCTGATTGTCATGATTGTAGATATTTATGTACATTTACCTGTGCATGTATTCATGGAATGTGCCTAGTGGCTTCAGGATTAAAAATGATGGCCAGCTGACAGGAATTCTGTCAAAGTAGAGACAGTGTACCAGCCATTAAGACCCTCGCAGATGTGGACGGATGGAGCAGTTGATCAAAATGACATTGTTTTACTCGCATTTGCAGTCCAGGTAAATGTTAAAATTGTGAGGCGGTGGGAAAAAGTGCTGATTTTGCATTAAATTTGGGCAGCAAGCAATTTCTTGTGTGTATTTCAAAGAGACTTATCAAATAGTCAACTTAAATCAGGCCTGGATACTGCATTCATCACCATCTAGCAGACCTGAGATTCACATGCATAGTGTGTTGTATGGTGTTGCTTCGGGACTATGCAAATGGCCCTATTCCAATCATTAGATATATGGATGGATTTACCTATTTGTAATACGCAGTTGTACAAGATCAAACTATCACTTACGTGTGGGCCACCCATGCCCCCAAGACAAGTTGATATATTTAGAATTTTCTGAAACAGTTATTTTTGGTAGGAGCAGCTTGGCCATACCCCGGTGGTGATATACCGTACAAGTTGGCAAATTTGATTAGTAGTTTTGATAATCTGTTTCCATAAGTTATATGACATTCTAATAACTACATGTAGGGTTACAGCCTTGGTCTCTTACATGTGTACCAAATTTACTCAATCTCCTGAGTATGTAGTGGAATGGCTTTTCTGTAAGAGGCAGAATTGGTTTCTGTTTCATTTGTGTTTTGTACACCGTATACATTCTTCACACACAGTTGGCTTTTACACCTCATATACAATGTACGTACATGTACTTTTGAGCATAAATACGCGGACATGTACACTCAAATTGTGTGCATTAAATCAAGAAGTATTCCTAACATTACTTCAGTAGGTTAGGTAGCAAGGTGATTTTCACTCCAGTGGACTCTCCCTTGTAAACTTCAGTTAAAAAAAAAAACGCACAATGCTTGTTTGTGTTTTGGCCACATTTTCTGAAATTTTGGGTGAAAATGCAGCAAATTCTTGCTGAAGGCTTGCTTGATTAAATAATCTCTGGAAATATACAGTAAACTATAGAAGCAGCTGTCCACAGGAGAGTTGGAACAGTGCTTTCTCTCATCATGGATGCAAAACAGATGCTACGATAGAAACAGTGAAGGTTTCACACTCGTACAATTATTACATGGTAAGAATAATTTCATGAGGGAACAGATTGCTTGTTTTATGCAACACCTGAATAAACCCACCTCTGACAGAAAGATGGAAGTCTGATGTGTGTTATGTTTGCCAGTATCAGTTTAATAAAGCATACATGTACCAAATCATGACAGGTGATTGA